CGGAGGGCCGGGCTGTCCCCCGAGGGCAGGGTGTCCTCGAGAGGTGTTCGACGTTGTCGGGCCCCTCCTGGGGCTTCTGGGGCCGTCAGAGACGACTCGGAGTGGAAAGTTCGTCTCGCAGAAAGTCCCAGGGCCCAAGAGCCATGTCCACCAGGCCTGTGCTGCCTTCATGGCACACGAGGAGGAGGAGGAGGAGGATAGAGGAGGAGGAGGAGGGAGTGTGGAGGAGGAGGAGGAGGAGTAGGAGGAGGAGGATAGAGGAGGAGGAGGAGGAGGAGGAGGAGGAGGAGGAGGAGGAGGAAGAGGAGGAGGAGGAGGATAGAGGTCTCTGACATTTGTTTGGCTTTAGTGTTGGCTTCTGGTACCGGAGCCGCAGGATAAAGACCAACCAATAACATGTCTCACAAGTGCAGGGGTGATGGACGTCAGTTGGGCAATGCTACCGTTGCATCAACACCGCATAGTGGTATGGTTACTGGAAAAAAATCCGACAGGCAATGTCATGGTGAAGTTGGGCAAAACTACCAATCAACCATCGCTGCCACAAGTATTTCACAGACCTCTCCATGGGCATCACGGAGACGACGTCTTACATGCTCGGCTTATTTTCCCTTCCCATCCCTCCGTGGATGTTCGACGGACATGGGCAAACATAGCCGTGCCGAAAGTTGCGCAAGTCCATTTTCCGTGGATAGCGTTTCTCAGTCTCTTCGGTTTTAACCCGTGTTACCTGGGGATACGTAGTCGGGGCCCAGGCAAAGATACCGAGGCCATTAACCGATCGTCGTGTTCGTCTCCAGCACCATGTCCAATTTCTGGCTCGACTCTATTGCTGGATCCCCTGCCACTCCCAACTTGCTCACCGTCAGGCCCACTATCCAGATCTTCCACGGTGAGCCGCACATGGTTCAGATCACGACGACGATGCAAACCTATCTACACAGTACCTTGGGCCTGGGCATGCGGAAGGGCTCTCGGGGGACTCGCGCATCAAATGTTCAGAATATTGTCAATCAATGGTTCGAAGTTCTATGTATATATTATGCATCCAGGAAGTAACTCCAGTGTGCAGAACATTGCGAATCTACTCTCTTCCTACCTGGGACAGACAGCCCAGAGCAACGATCATTCACTGGAACTGGTTTTTTTGTCGCCCCGTTGGCCCGTGGCGCCGTAGTGGCATTCTGGGCGCTCACTTCGAGATTAGTTACGCTCAGGGTTCGAGTACATCACGGCGTATTGCTGTTTATATCCGCCTACATACCGCACAGTGGATATGATCCCGAAGATCCCCAATTTTGCTTCACAGAGCTCATCGAAGCACTGCGGCCCACGACACCATGCAGCACAACCTCTGTATTGGGCGACTTCAACGCAAAGTTATTGCAGCCACGCCCTGGAGAAGAACAGCACGTCGGACAACATGTATCCCTTACTGGTGCAATTCAGACGCCGACTGGCAAAAGGCCTCATAGAGAGTTGTTCTTCGAACAATGTATTGCTGCAGACGTGTCTATTGCAAGCATGTTGGCCGATACACCGACAACCAACACATCATATACCGGAGCCTTGGTGTTGAACCCATGGACTCGAACATCGCGCAACGCAAGTACGCAAGTTTTCTCACATCGTCCACGTGCTATGTCACACGTCGCGTCTGGCTTGTGTCACGCATTGCAATATTCATCTCGCAGAAGCACTACGCAGCAAACATTGTTTGAGAAACATGGATGTTCCCTTGCTGTTGCAAGCCGAATCTACCCATCGACGGCTTCGCTTTGATATTCCGTTGATGCAGGATCTGGGGATACAAGAGACAATTATGTCTAGATCGTACGTTTCATGGGCAGCAGCACAATTTTTTCAGAATATGTTGGACGAACTGGCCAATCGCGTTGACCATGCCTTAGTTACTGCGTGTACCACCTTGCGTGCCGAACCAACCATGGATATTTCAAGCGACTACGGGTCTTATCGAACAGCGGGACACCGCAAGACAGTTTGGGTACCTTGACAGCAAACGCACCTTAAACACATTTATTCAGAGAAGCGCCAGGACCGATCGCACGAACTGGATACTACATTGTTGCTGGCAGTTGGGACGCCTTTATCTGAAATAAAAAAGAAACATGCTGCAGCACGGGGTCTCAGCAACCACCTTATTGATACCGCTGGTCGCCCATACGCTTTGGCGGGCTACCGTGGAAAACTGCAAAGGCATGTTCAGCTCGCGAAATGAATGTCCACCGCCAGTGGTGTGCTTGGTGCAGATCTCCCCGTGGACGCGAGGAGTTTCACAATGACAGAACTATCGCTTGTATTGAAAAAGGCGGTAAAGCGGCCAGGCGGGACTTCGCACCGCCAGGTTCCTGGAAAGTTGTCACCCGATGTACGCACGCACGCGAAGCATGTTTGGAATGTTGTCAAACATGTTGGGGGGCCACAGGAAGCCCATGCACGTCATGGAAGGCAAGCGTTGCATGGTTGTCCGAAACAGGCAAAGCGGAATCACCCAGCATGTGCAGACCAAAATCTTTTTTCCGTTAGATACTAAATTCTGGCGGCCATGCTGCACCAATGACTTCTTCAAAAAGGATATGACAAGAAAAGACCCCAAACAAAAAAACGCCAACGGGTCTCGCAATTTGGGCTCCGGCCTCGTCGGGGGCCCGCCGACGCGTTCATGTTTGCGCGGTGCATTTTCGACGCAGTGGTTTGTTGATAATGTTGGTGGTCTTGCGTTACTCTGACTTGGCTGGGCGAAAGCCCTCGATCGATTGAAACTAGAATGTCTCTGCTCTGCCTTGGCACGCTTGGGACTACTACCACCTGTTCGTAGACATGGCCACAGGCATGTACTCACAAAGTTACCTCACAAGTGATACCCACTGGTAATCCTTCTGAACGCACGCAACCTGCTGGTAACGCGCAAGGGTGTCCTCTCTCACCGCATTTAGTTATGATTGTCCACGCGATAATGTTGGCAAACGTGTTCTCGGATCCACAATTGCACCAAGAGCATGGGTACGTAGTGACCAACGTCATGTTACACGAAGACGCCACAGCGCTGGTACGCAAAGCGTGGAATCTTTACAGTTGCTGAGTGCTATTACTTCGGAATGTCAAAAGTATGGTTTGGAGTTCCAGCAGGACCAGACCGTGCAGCTTCAAGTCTCCACGGATGACGAAGTGACAGGGCCAGACGGAAAGCCA